AGAAATTTAGAAATTTAGAAATTCAGAAATTCAGAAATTCAGAAATTCAGAAATTCAGAAATTCAGAAATTGAGAAATTTAGAAATTCAGAAATTCAGAAATTCAGAAATCCAGAAATTTAGAAATTCAGAAATTTAGAAATTCAGAAATTCAGAAATTTAGAAATTTAGAAATTGAGAAATTGAGAAATTGAGAAATTGAGAAATTTAGAAATTGAGAAATTTAGAAATTGAGAAATTTAGAAATTGAGAAATTCAGAAATTGAGAAATTCGGAAATTGAGAAATTGAGAAATTTAGAAATTGAGAAATTTAGAAATTGAGAAATTTAGAAATTTAGAAATTGAGAAATTTAAAAATTGAGAAATTTAGAAATTGAGAAATTTAGAAATTGAGAAATTTAGAAATTCAGAAATTGAGAAATTTAGAAATTGAGAAATTCAGAAATTCAGAAATTCAGAAATTCGGAAATTCAGAAATTTGGAAATTCAGAAATTCAGTAATTTAGAAATTGAGAAATTCAGTAATTTAGAAATTGAGAAATTCAGTAATTTAGAAATTGAGAAATTCGGAAATTCAGAAATTCAGAAATTGAAAAAACTCAGAAATTCAGAAATGAAAAAATCCGAAAATTTAGAGAATCGGATACTCAGAAATTCAAAAATCAAAAACCCTGAAAATCAAAAATTAGAAATTCTAGGAGCCTGAAAATCAAAAGTTCCAATCAGAAAATTCAAGAAAATTTTTTTCAGTTTTGAAGTTTCTAGAAATATCCCAAAATTCTGTACTCGAAAAATCTGAAATTTTCATTTTCATAGGTTTCTGAAATTCAATTCTTCCTTCTGAGAATTTCACATTAAAAAAACGTTTTTTTGGCTTTAAATCTCTCCTATCTCAGAATCCCCTATTTTCCGAAATTCAGGAAATTCCAAGATTCACAACATCTGGCAAATCAAAAATTCATGAAATTAGCAATTCGAAGACACCGAAAATCAGAAATTCAGAGACTCGGACATTTAATTACCCCATTCCTCTAATTTATAATTCATAATTTATCATTCAGAAATCCAGAAATTGGGGAACCACATTAATAAATTAGAATTCCCGGTATTTATGAATTTCTGAAATTCTGAATTTCTGAATTTCTGAATTTCTGAATTTCCGAATTTCTGAATTTCTGTATTTCTGAATTTCTGAATTTCTGAATTTCTAAATTTCTGAATTTCCGAATTTCTGAATTTATGAATTTATGAAATTCTAAAATTCTGAAATTCTAAAATTTCGAGATTCTGAATTTCTGAGTTTCTGAGATTCTGAATTTCTGAATTTCTGAATTTATGAAATTCTAAAATTCTGAAATTCTAAAATTTCGAGATTCTGAATTTCTGAGTTTCTGAGATTCTGAATTTCTGAATTTCTGAATTTCTGAATTTCTGAACTTCTGAATTTCTGAATTTCTGAATTTCCGAATTTCTCAATTTCTAAATTACTGAATTTCTCAATTTCTCAATTTCTAAATTACTGAATTTCTGAATTTCCAAATTTCTGAATTTCTGAATTTCTGAATTTCTGAATTTCTGAATTTCTAAATTTCTCAATTTCTAAATTTCTCAATTTCTCAATTTCTGAATTTCTGAATTTTTGAATTTCTGAATTTCTGAAATTCGAAATTTTCATACTTTTTTTGAAAATTTCCTTTTTGAGAACCGAAATTTCTGTTTGTTTTTTGCTTCCCTCGTTTTCTTTTCGAAAATTTCAAAACATTTTTTCTTTGAAATTTCATCAAATTTCATTTTTTGAAATTTCAAAATTCATCCTAAATTTCAAAGTTTTTGGGAAAAAATTGTTTTCTAAAATTGCAAAAAATCTAAAATTTAGAATTCTAGAATTTGCGAAATTCTGCGAAATTCAGAATATTTGATGACTTCAATTCAGCAATTCAGAACTCCTGAATTTTTGATGAATCCCAATTTCTGCGTCTTTCCATTTTCTGAAGTCCTGAATTTCTGAATTACGAATTCAGAAACGCAAGCGCAGAAGCGCAGGAAACCGAAAATTAGAAATTCAGAAATTCAGAAATTCATAGAATCCAAAATTTCGAAATTCTAGGAGACTACTTTTCCCTTTCCTGAGAATTTTCTTCTCCCTTCGATTTCACAATTTAAAAAAAAAGAAGTTTAGAAATTTAGAATTTTTGAATTTCAGAAATTTAGAAATTCAGAATTTTAGAATTTTAGGAAAGACATTCTGAAAATCTGAAATTCTCATATTCCCAGATCCTCAAATTATCAGATTTTGAAATTCTGGAAATTCTAAAATTATGAACTTCTAAAATTTCGAGATTCTGAATTTCTGAGTTTCTGAGTTTCTGAGATTCTGAATTTCTGAAATTCTGAGATTCTGAGATTCTGAGATTCTGAAATTCTGAGATTCTGGTGTCCTTAGATTGTGAGGTTCTGGGATCCTTAGATTCTGAGATTCTGAAATCTGAAATTCTGAGATTCTGAGATTTTGAAATTCTGAAATTCTGAAATTCTGGAATTCTGAAATTCTGGAATTCTGAAATTCTAAAATTCTGAACTTCTGAAGTTTTGAGATTCTGAGATTCTGAGATTCTGAAATTCTGAGATTCTGAGATTTTGAAATTCTGAAATTCTGAAATTCTGGAATTCTGAAATTCTGGAATTCTGAAATTCTAAAATTCTGAACTTCTGAAGTTTTGAGATTCTGAGATTCTGAGATTCTGAAATTCTGAGATTCTGAGATTTTGAAATTCTGAAATTCTGAAATTCTGGAATTCTGAAATTCCGGAATTCTGAAATTCTAAAATTCTGAAGTTTTGAGATTCTGAGATTCCAAGAGTCCAAGGTTCCAAGATTCCGAAATTCTGAGATTCTGAGATTCTGAAATTCTGAGACTCTGAGATTCTGAATTTCTGAAATTCTGAGATTCTGAAATTCTTTCAATTTTCAAATGAAATTTTACATATTTTTCAAAAAAATTCAATTTATTTTTCCCAACTTTTCAAAACGAAAATTTTTCGAAATTTTATGCAAATTCAAATTCTTTTCAATTTCCAAATCCCCCATGTGAAAATGTTTTCCCTCCTTCCCCTCAAATCGAAATCTCTTTTTATTTTTTTTTCTTTCCGCCGAAATTCGTAAATTCGTAAATTCCTGAATTCCGCCCGAAGGCAAAGAATTCTGTGTCCAATTTTGCCCATTTTCGAAAGAAAAGCAATTCAATTCGAAATTGAAAAAAAATCCATAAGCAGATGGGAAAATTATTCTCAAATCTTATTCCCTTTTTATTAGTTGTGTATTTTTGGAAAACTTTCGAAAATATCGCAAATTTACATTTTCACAAATTTCGAAATTCTGAAATTCTGAAATTCTGAAATTCTGTGATTCTGAGATTCTGAAATTCTGAGATTCTGAGATTCGGATATTTTGAAATTCTGAATTCTGATTTTCAGAGATTCCAAGATGCCCAGATTCCGACATTCTGAAATTATGAGATTCTGAGATTCTAAAATTCTGAAATTCTAAAATTCTGTATTTCTGATTCTGAAATTCTGAAATTCTGAAATTCTGAAATTCTGACATTCTGACATTCTCAGATTATCAAATTCTGAAACTCTCAAATTTTGAGATTCTTAAATCCTAAATTCTGAATTTCCTGAACTTCAAAAAACCTTTGAATTCCAGAAGTTTAAAAGTTCTGAACTTCTGAGTTTTTGACTTTTCCAGGAATTCCGAAAATTTTTCCTGTTATAGCCTTCTGGAATTTCCTGAGTTTCTGAAATTTCGAATTTTCTGGGATTTTCTGGGATTTTCTGGAACTTTCGGATTTAGTATTAATTTTCAAATCTCGCTTCAGACAAACACGTATACATAATTAGAGAATGTTGTAGAAAATTTCCTATGTTTTGATTTCCAAGCCTTCCAAAACATACATGTCTGTCCTCCAAAAAGTGGGCGGGGCTTATTTTTGGCTTTTGAGATACAGAATTTCTGTTTTATTGGATCAAGTTTTAGGATCAAATTACTGGAACTTCAAATTTTTTGATTTCCTTTGAAATTTCAAAATTTAGAACAAAAGTTTTTTGAAAATTTCAAAAATTCTTCATTTCAAAAATATCCAAAAAAAAATAGTATACAATTCAAAAGAGACGCAGAGATGATCACAAGTAGAATAGACTATTTTCGGAGAGAGACACAAAAATCTGGGTCAATTTTCGATTTCTATGAGTGTTTCCCTTTTTTGGGGATGTACAAATTTTCGGGAAAATGCAATTTTTGTGACCGTTTTTTTCTGAAAATTGTAATTTTTCAAATTTTCAGAATTTCAAAATTAGGTCAAACTGTCAGAAAAAAAGTTTTCGAAAAAAAAAATCTGAAAAAAAATTTTTTTTCCAAAATTTTCAAAATTCGAATTTCTATATTTATGTAAAAGACACATTTTTTAACTTTCAATTTTTCATATATCTAGCATAATTTTTAAGTTATAGCTATTTAAAGACGAGACACAGAGGAGCAAGAGTGTCTCGTTTCTCTGCGTCTCCCCCTCTCTGAGGGAGCCCCAAACTTTCAAAAGTTCTATCTCAAGGACCATAAAAGCTATCAAAAAGTTGTCAACTACAAAAATGTGTAAAATTTTATGCGAATTATTTTTGTAGTTGATCACAATCTTCTAGCTTCGATGCTTCTTGAGATATGACGGTTTTTTGGGAAAGCGCATGGAAGCCAGGATGCCTTCATGTATGACTTTTTTTCCAAATCAGGTTAGAGAGCGCCCAGAGAAACGAGACTGTCTGCGTCTCTTCCTGTTTTCTTATCCATCATTCTCCTATTATAACAATGTTTGACACTTTTAACATGTTAAATTTCTACTTCTTTTCCGTTTTTCCCCCAAATTTCTCAATTTATTTTTCAGTTCAAACTCACACCGCAAATTCCTGAGTTCTCCATCTTTTTTCTAGCTCCAATACTTCTTATAAATCATGATGACAACAACTACTACAGTAATCCCGGACACTGTCATGCGGACCGGTCTCGCGCCAGCTCCAAACATCCCGAATCCAAGGAACGCCGGACGCAAAAAGAGCAACCCGGTGAGCGAAAATTCTGTGCATTTTGTCGTAAAACTTGATGCACTGGATTAACCTACAGTAACCCAGAAAAATTTCAGGTCTGGGAATTCTTCACCGATCTTCGAACACATGGCTTGGCTGGGGTACGGTGTCGCTTTTGTCACTGGGTCACAAATGACCGTAGTCCGACGACCATGAAATTTCATTTAAAACGAAAACATGATACTGGTAAGTCAATTTTATCAGAAAATTTGAACTTGGCGGGAAAAGAGCTTCAAAATGAGTACAGACATGACTAGGGAAAAATTTGGATCAAAAAATTTTTTTTCGAAAAGTCACCTTGTTTATACTCATTTTGAAGCTCTTGATGAGCTGAGTTTGCTTTCATGAATCATTCGAATCCAATTTCAGGACCCGGAGGGTTATGGGCGATTTGTGAGGAGAAGATCAATTCACAAGCACCAGCCAATTATGCGCCTCGGATGAAGAAACAGGTAATTTTTAATTTTCGATTTTTGAATTATCATGAACTCTAAAAGTTTCATGATCTAAAAATCTGAAATTCCTAGATTTCGAGAATCTTTTTTCTGAATTTTTCAAATTTCTGGAATTTTGAGAATCCAATGTTTTTGGAATTTTAGAATTTCGAGAATTCTAGAAACATGTCTCCGGAATTTATAGATTTTCAGCAATTTTGAAATTTTAGGAATATTAGATTTTTCAGTGTTTCCAGAATTGCCAGCGTGAAGAAAAGAAATCGGGGTTTTTGAATATTACGAATTTTCAGCAATTTTTAGATTTTAAGATTTTAAGAATTTCTCGAATTTTCGAATTTCAGGAATTTCTGGGATTTCAAGAATTAGGAAAATTTCGAAATTCCAAAAATTTGGAACTCTCTAAAAATACAAAATTCAAAAGTTCCGCAATTTAGAAAGTGGGAAAGTCAGAAAGTCAGAATATCAGAATCTCAGAACCTCAGAATCTCAGAATCTCAGAATTTCAGAATCTCAGAATTTCAGGATCTAAGAATCTCAGAATCTCAGAATCTCATAACCTCAGAATCTCAGAATCTCAGAATTTCAGAATCTCAGAATTTCAGGATCTAAGAATCTCAGAATTTCAGGATCTAAGAATCTCAGAATCTCAGAATCTCAGAATCTCAGAATCTCAGAATCTCAGAATCTCAGAATCTCAGAATCTCAGAATCTCAGAATCTCAGAATCTCAGAATTTCAGAATCTCAGAATTTCAGAATCTAAGAATCTCAGAATCTCAGAATCTCAGAACCTCAGAATCTCAGAATCTCAGAATTTCAGAATTTCAGGATCTAAGAATCTCAGAATTTCAGAATTTCAGGATCTAAGAATCTCAGAATCTCAGAATCTCAGAATCTCAGAATCTCAGAATCTCAGAATCTCAGAATTTCAGAATCTCAGAATTTCAGGATCTAAGAATCTCAGAATCTCAGAATCTCAGAATTTCAGAATCTCAGAATTTCAGGATCTAAGAATCTCAGAATTTCAGAATTTCAGAATTTCAGGATCTAAGAATCTCAGAATCTCAGAATCTCAGAATCTCAGAATCTCAGAATTTCAGAATTTCAGGATCTAAGAATCTCAGAATTTCAGAATTTCAGGATCTAAGAATCTCAGAATCTCAGGATCTCAGAATCTCAGAATCTCAGAATCTCAGAATCTCAGAATCTCAGAATCTCAGAATCTCAGAATCTCAGAATCTCAGAATCTCAGAATCTCAGAATCTCAGAATTTCAGAATCTCAGAATCTCAGAATCTCAGAATCTCAGAATCTCAGAATTTCAGAATTTCAGAATTTCAGAATCTCAGAATCTCAGAATTTCAGAATTTCAGAATTTCAGAATCTCAGAATCTCAGAATCTCAGAATCTCAGAATTTCAGAATTTCAGAATTTCAGAATTTCAGAATTTCAGAATTTCAGAATTTCAGAATTTCAGAATCTCAGAATCTCAGAATCTCAGAATCTCAGAATCTCAGAATCTCAGAATCTCAGAATCTCAGAATTTCAGAATCTCAGAATTTCAGGATCTAAGAATCTCAGAATCTCAGAATCTCAGAATTTCAGAATCTCAGAATTTCAGAATCTCAGAATTTCAGAATCTCAGAATCTCAGAATTTCAGAATCTCAGAATTTCAGGATCTAAGAATCTCAGAATTTCAGAATTTCAGAATTTCAGGATCTAAGAATCTCAGAATCTCAGAATCTCAGAATCTCAGAATCTCAGAATCTCAGAATCTCAGAATCTCAGAATTTCAGAATCTCAGAATTTCAGGATCTAAGAATCTCAGAATCTCAGAATCTCAGAATCTCAGAATCTCAGAAATTCGGGAAAGTCTATAATTCCAAAAATTCAAAAGTTCAGGTTTTTCTCAAAATTCCAAACTTTTTTCAAACTTTGAAAATTTGGATTTCTAGATTTCTTTCTAATTTTTTTTCGAAATCAAATACAGAATCTCTTTTCCGCTTATTCCTATATTTCCCGTTTACATTACATTCCATTCAGAAAATTGGAAAAAAAATTCGTCTGTATGAAAACTGGATTCCCCCCAAAAAAACTTTTTTTGGATAAATTTATACATCTACTTTTCTATAGAAGCTACTTTTCTACAGAGAAAAAAAAGCGTTTTCTTTTAAATTTTCTGCGTCTCTCAATTTTCCACACTCTCTTCCCCCAAATTTTCCGCGCGGCGAAAATGTAAAAATTAATGCGAATTTCCCCAGTCTCTGTGTGATTTCTAGGTCACAAGTTGTCCACTATTCAAACGTGTTTTTAGAAGAAACAGTGTGTAAAATCAAGAGACGCAGACACATTTTTCGTATACAAAAATGATATATCCGTGTGGGTTTTCCAGGGTAAAATTGGATTGGAAAAGTTTGTTTTCTTTTCGGACACACAAATTTGGGAAAACTGGTTTTTTCGCTTTTGAGAACGAAATTTTTGACCCAGATTTTAGGGTAATTTGGGGTGACTTTTTTGATGAGGAAATGAAAAAATTAGGAAGGAAAAAATTGAGGGATGGACATCTGGAAAAACAAATGAACAGACAGAAATACATAGAGGAGAGTACCGGGAAATATGATTGAGATTCTGAAATTCTGAAATTCTGAAATTCTGAAATTCTGAAATTCTGAAATTCTGAAATTCTGAAATTCTGAAATTCTGAGATTCTGAGATTCTGAGATTCTGAGATTGTGAGATTCTGAGATTCTGAGATTCTGAGATTCTGAGATTCTGAGATTCTGAGATTCTGAGATTCTGAAATTCTGAGATTCTGGTGTCCTTAGATTGTGAGGTTCTGGGATCCTTAGATTCTGAGATTCTGAAATTCTGAAATTTTGAAATTTTGAGATGTCATTCTGAGATTCTGAGATTTTGAGAATCTTTCAAAAATCGATATTTTCAGCCAGAAGACATCTTTCTAAAAGCCCTAAGCCAACCATCCCCATTCAATTTCAATCCATTCGCGACGGCGGAAATCAAAATGGGAGCACCTGATGATTTTTTAACAGCACTCATCGAACAAGCCAAACAATACGCCCATTCAAGCACATCACCATCCGCAGGATCAGTTGTAAGTGTTGGTTTTGGCTTGGAGGGAAATTCAAAAATTTTTATTTTTCAAACTTTTTCAGGAAGGAAACGCGTCCAACGAAAATGAGAGTCTAACCAGTGATTCTGTCTTTTTGAGCAAGCTAAACAGCTCTTTTCCTGTGGTAAGTGAGAGAGTGTAGAGAAACTAGAGTGTCTGCTTGTCTGCGTCTCTTATTTGGAGCAGATAACAACGCGTATCTCGAAAACTACATTAGTTAACGTGGTCAATTGCAAAATTGCTCAGCATAAAATTTTACACATTTTGCTAATTGACAACTTTTTTCTAGCTTTTTTAGTTTTAGAGAGTCTTGAAGTTAGGCAATCAAAAGAGAGACGCAGAGAAACTAGAGCACTCTCGTTTCTCTGTGTCTCTCGTGCAGTTTCTATGTTGCATCTCTTAGGATAGTGCTGCTCATATTCAAGAAATCAATCTAAAAATTTGTGAATTAGTGATTTTCAAGTTCAGAATGCAAAATTTTAAAATTTCTGAAGAAAAATTAATTTTCAAATTTTCAAAATTTTCGCAAAAATAATTTGAAAAAAAAAACATTTTTTCTGGGATTTGATTTTAGTTTTAAAAAAAATTCTATAAAACTTTGAACTTATTTCAAACAAAACACATTCAACAATTAAAAAATAGGTCTTCTTTACGAGAGACGCAGAGAAACGAGGTTGTCTCGCTTCTCTGAATCTTTCTTTCGCCCTCCTAACTTCTATAGCTCGTTTCTCAGAAGCCTTTATAGCTAACGAGAAGTTGTCAACCACAAAAATGTGTAAAATTTTATGCTAAGTAATTTTGTAGTTGACCGCAAGTTACTAGCTCCAACCTTTCTTGGGATATGAGCGTTTTTCTAATTGAAGCAGGCTGTAGGCGTCTCTGCTCGCTCCATCTCCTTTTCCGTCAGAAAAACGGTCATATCACAAAAACGGTTGAAGCTAGAAGATTTTGGCTAATTACAAAATTGCTGAGCATACAATTTTTCACATTTTTGTAGTTGTTTACTTTTTTCTAGCTTTAAAGCTTCTCGAGATACTACGGTTATTCGTGAGAGAGCACGGAAGCCGGGGTGCCTTCATGTCTGCGTCTCTTCCATAGCTTGTATCTCAAGAACCGTTATAGCTACAAAAATGTTTACAATTACAAAAATGTGTAAAATATTATGATGCGCAATTTTGTAGTTGACTTCTTTTTGATAGCATTTTTTGTTCTTGAGATATGCCTGTTTTTCTAAACATTCACAATTTTGAAGCTCGTCTGAAGTTCAAACGCGCTTATCTCGAGACTCGTTATAGCTATGAAAAATCTGTGAACTGTTAAAATGTGTGGAATTTGCTCATTTTTTTTCCTTTTAGAAAGAAGAAGATTCGTCTTCGTCGTCGGTCAGTGGAAGCACTTCAACATCCACGTCTTCATCAGATTTCCATTTAAGTGATGGGTCAAGTATCGCGGCACTCTTGCAAATCGCAACAGATTCCGATTTGATTTTTACGTTTAATGCGAGAAAATCTGGAGAGTACTGTTTCGAGAATAATGCCAAAAATGTGAGTTTGGATGTTCCAGAAGTTATAGGAAATTCAGAAATTCAAAACTTTGGAAATTCGGAAATTCGAGAATTCGGAGACTCATAAATTTCGAAATTCCTGAAAGTTCTGAAATTTCAAAAAATTTAGAGACCTCAAAAAGTTCAGAAGTTCCAAAATTTCAT